CCCCAGGGCCTAGGCTCAGGGGCCAGTGCGTGTTTCCCCTCTATATTAAAGGTCTAAATTCACCAGAGAGAGAAAGGAACTAAGTTTTATTCTCAGAAGCTAAACATGTTGTGATGGTTACTTCGTAGTTGAAAGAATAAAATGACCCACAATCTCAGGGTCTCCCGTGGAGGAGGAACAGGAAGCAGGTGGAAGCGACCCCTGCCATCCTGGAGTTAATAAAGTTTGTCAACACCTCAGGGCTTAGCAAGCACAGCCGTGGTGAGCAATTCATTTTCTACCGCAGCAGCGAGGCCTGAGTGCGACTTACTGAGATATCTTTCAATACCCATCCAGGACTGACCGCTCAAAGGGTCGGCGAAGACCCAGAGCAAACAGCTAAGGGATGCGGTGAAAGGATGAAATCAGCTTTCTTCTGAGACCTTTGGGACAGGGGGACCCGAGGCTGAGGGGACACCAGGACTTGTGCAGGCCCCTGTGTACGGCGGGACCAGGTGCATCCGGAATGGGCCCCGTGTTTTAAAAGAAAGATCTTTGCTGCACGACTCCTGGATGTTGGATCCATATAAAAGTCAGTGTCTTTACATGGAATCTGAGAAATATCAAGGAAGCTATTCAGTCTGCTCCACTCCTAGATTCAAAAGCCGCTCCACATACCTCAAAGACTTGCTTTTTGCCTGGTGGAAAGAGTTTGAGGCGGAGAATCAAGAGACAGTTCTGTCACCTACCAGCAACCTGACCCTGGACAAGAAAGGCACTTAACCTCTCTCTACTTCAGGCTTTTCACTGGGGAAACAGGGAAATTAGCACTGGATGCAAACTTGCATGAATGTTGTAGAACTAACGAGGGCCACAGAACGGGATGGTGGCAACGGCGGCCTCATCTCAGCACCGCCCAACCTCTCCGTGGGAAACCTGCCAACAAGGACCCGGAGGTGATGTGCTTAAGGCAGTGCCTGTGGACGCCCTGGCCCTCCTGTCCTCGCCCTTCTTTTCCCCAGCAGGCCTGGGCCCTGGGCTCTCCAGTTTTCTAGTCACTCACTGGCCTGCGTCACCAGATCTGAGCAACACACAACCTTTTCTTAAGTATATTTAATAACTCTTACCAAATCAAATTCCAATTAAGACCAAGAATATTGCAGATATTTCAATTTTCAACGTCCTCGATGGTCTATGAAACAGGAATACGAGGAATACAAGCAGAAACAGGGTTTAAAAAAAAAAAAAAGAGGCTCCTATTCTTTTATTTTTTTGCAGTACAGTGAGGATGCTCGTTTCCAAAAGGATCTTCCCACCATCAGCGGTGCAGGGTCCCACTCCCAACACCCTGAGTTAACAGGATTCTAAACATCTAAGCATGCTGGAGGGGGAAAACAGTAAGGGAAACATACATTCAAACCCTGGACTGCAAGCCCTGTTTCTCCCTGGGATTTGCTGCCCAGCTTCCCATAGGAGGTGAACATTTTTTCTAGTTTGTCAGAATAAAGACATCACAAAGTGGCCTGATACAAAGTATGTGCTTGTGCAACACACTTCCAGAGGTGACAGGAGGCAGGCTCTGGCCCTGCCAGTGAGGTGACAGCCCCGGCGAATGGATTCCAAGCTTTAGTCCAGCTTGGCAGCTCAGCAACTCAGGGCAACAAAACAACTGAGCAACTAAGTCCCGGTCACTGCACTGACGGGGGTTATGCAGGAGCCTGCGAGGGGCCTGACCATCCAAACAGCCACCTAAGATCTGTGCCAATCAAATTCTCTGTTGGCACCCAAAATATGTGGGAAGACGAGAAAGGTCCCAGTCACAGTTTCCCTGTTTCCATGGTGGGTCATCTCATGCATTATATGCCGCAGATATAACACAATGACTATTTCCTTAGCTGTGGCAAGGCCTCTTGGGCCACGCGCTGTAGAGTGTAGCTTGTATTCTCCAGCTCATGTGGGTAAGAAGCAGGGGCACCCTGGAACTCAGGCACCAGGGTGGTGCTGAGGCCCATGCAGGAAGCACTGGGAACCCCAGAAGGGGAAGGGGTGGCCATGGACAGCACAGACCCCTGCCCAGAAAGGCCAGAGTGTCCCTGGCACTTAGGAAGGGCTAGCAGCAGTCATCATCTGTATTTTGCTGGGGAGACGTGACGGCTCCCTAGGGCCACTTGTGGCCCATGTGCCCTGGGTCCTCTGGCTTCTGGCTGGATCTGGTCAGGGTGAGGTGTAGGAAATGGGAAGAGGAGGGGCGTTTGGCTAGGTGCTCCCTTGGCTGCTGGGTCACCAAGCTGGCGTGTCCCTCCAGGGAAGGTCACAGCCCCACTGGAGACGCTCCCTGCCCTCGGCCCCCTCTGCCTCTGCCTCTGCCCAGATTGGCTGCCCTTCCCCATCCTGGTGAATGGTCCCTGGGGCAACTCCACAGTACAGTGACCAGCTCAAGGACGCAGTTGTTATTCCCAGGGCCCTGAATGAATTACCTGACAGATGCCAAGATTTTATTTTCTTATACTTGTAAGAGATCTGAATCTAGTCATTTGTCCCAACAGGGCAGATCAAAACCATAAAATCCAACCACAGCCACCCTCTGTAGAGGATTTCAGCAGGAGGCTGGGTGACGGGGACCACACTGGTAGTCATTGGTCATGGAGGAGAAACCAAAATACCTTCAGAGAACTCAACTGTATCCTCCAAAGACGCCATGTGTACCACTCACTTAAGTTTCAAGCACAGGACACTTACTTTAGGTGAGTCACACAGTGCGCTCTAAGGAGCCGCTAATGACCAAGATAATGGAACATCCTGCACGTCACTAACTCTAAAGTGGGTTCAATGGGAGGTAACAGTCTGACTTTAGAAATGCCTCAGGAAGACTAAATGGGGTGCTCGGCAAGACTGACTCAGGCCTGACACATCCACTTTCCCCAAGGACAATTCTTTCTGACTTTTTAAATGAAGAATGTACTACTTCCTTTTGATCGAAAAGATGTTACTGGAAATTGGGGGGTGGTCCCCCCAGGCCCTGACTTCTAAATATGCCCCCCATTTGCTCCTCCATGCAGGGGCTCTGGGGTGGCTTTCCAATTTGGTCATTTCCATGGTACCTGCCTTCTGATTGTGTCCCCACCTCAGCAGTGGGAACTTGAATGAATTGGGGCCTTTCTGCCCCAGCCTGGTGACACATGGGGCGGTCTTATGAGCTTGGGAGGAGGAGTAGGAGCCCAACATGCTTGTGGCCACCTTTCAGCTTCCTTCAGACCCACAACCATCTGCACACACACATGCTGGCCTGCTGTAAGGCTCTGCCGTCTCACCCACAGCCAGGGGTGTGAGTGCCTGCACAGTCACACACAGACTTGGACGTCAGCGTCTGCCAGGTTGTTGTGATGTTAAAACAAAGCCACAGCCCAACCGCATGCACAGGGCACCCAGTGCGAGATAGTGGTGTGTGTGAAAGCAGGCAGGAAGTTGTCCTCCTGACCCTTGCACAGGTGCCTGGAGGACAGGGGTGCTAGCAGTGGGCCACCTGGGAAGAGGCCACGCCCCGACCCCGAGCCTCTGTGCACTGTGGCCTCGTGTGCTGGGTCTTCAGGTGGGAGGGAAGATTGCAGCAGCATGCAGCATCTCAGCCGAATCCTTCTACCAGAGGAAGAGAGCTTGGTGGCTAGGTAGCTGCTCCCGCGCATGATCACAATTTTCTACTTTTTGATCGTTTTTGAGACAGCGTCTTGCTACATTGCTCTGGCTGGCCTCAAACCCACAATGTGGTCCAGGCTGGCTTCCAACGACTTTCTACTCTTACTCATATAGCCAAAGCTCGGAAGTCAGCTGCATTGAGCTTGGACCCAAACATTTTGGGATGATAATTCTGTCCTAGCCCTTGTCATCTGCTTGGTACTCTACACGCCGGTGAGAGCGCGTGGTATGCAGGGCCTCCTGGCTTGCTGGCCTTCCAGCCACAACAGCTGGCTTGCTGTTTTTGGTACTGGCCTGCTTCTCAGAACCACTTAATGGCAAGCACCACAGGCCCATGTACAAGAGTGCTGTCCTCGCTTATCAGGAGTGAGAGGCTCAGAAGCTTGTGTGGAGGCCAAACAGGAAGCGCTGAGGTAAAGCAGAGAAGGCTGTCTGGCCCATCAGGGAGGTGAGCCGGATGTTTGGGTCAGGGGGCTCCATGCACACAACGGGGCACCTCGCTCAGCCCTACCTCCAGACACAGGCGGGAACAGGGCACTGCCCCTGACAGGACCTGCAGGCTGTACCTTGCAGTTTGGGCCATGCCAACCAGCACTCAGGAAAAGCACACTGAAAACAGAGAACGACCCAGAAGGGGCTGTGCCCACGCGTCTTAGAATGGTAATCTTCCCCAGAAGGGTTTCTGTGCCCTGTTTATTATAGTTGCATTAACTTTACCTCTCATCACGTGGGTGTGTGTGCATGTGTGAGCATAAGGATGTGTCCCCACTTGCATCTGTGGAATAACAAAGTGCAAAGCGATTTGAACGAGCCCCTCCAGGCGGCCCACGCTGTGTTCCCCAAGACAAACGACTCGGTACATCACAGGAAAGAGGAGACAGCTGCCCAGCGGCCACACCCAGCACAGAGAATGGTACTGGCAGAAGAGGCGTCTGCCTGAATGTGTTGCTCAAAGCCAGAGTGGAGCCGGCTGTCTTACCGAGTCCAGCCAGCAGCATGGGCCCTAAGGGAGGGCGGAAGCCTCACTGTGGAATGGACACTGGCCCTTGGGCACCCAGGCAGGCAGACTACTGAACCTAACTGCACATCACGGGAAGCAGCAATGACTGCCAGGGGTGAGACCACAGGCTTGGTGGGATGTCTGAGGGCCAGCCAGGGATGGCACGGAGGTGCCGGGCCCTCTTGTGCCACCCTGGAAAAGGAAGGCACATGTGGTGATCTGCCCGTCTGCTCACTGGTGGCCCTAAAGGATCTGATTTTACAAACTGGGAAAATCAAGAGCATACGTTAGAGCAGACACCCATCCTCGGTGCCCCAAGACCCCTTACCTTCAGCTGTGCCGGAGAGCCCGTCAGCTTTGAAGTTGCTGGTGCTTTTCTTCCTGCGGTGCTTCTTTCTGTTGGCGTGGGGGGAGGGCGGTGGGTCGAGCTTGGGGCTGGTGGAGCTGGAGATACTTGGGCTGGAGCACACGGAGTCACCCAGCCCCGTGTCTGCCACCGGACCGGAAAAGGCAAGAGAATGCAACAGTAAGCACAGGAGAAAGAGGACCCGGCAACCACAGTCGGTGATGTCCCCCCAGCACCACACGAAGCCCTGCACGTCACAGCCCTTCATGAGGCTGGAGGCCCAGAGCATCCCTGGGCATGCATGCAAAAGCAGACACTTTATTTCGGCACCGATGTACACCAGGGAGAATTTAAAATTCTCTGCTCCCTGTAGCTTGAGTCCTAGACAGTCACATTCAGGATCCACATCTCTGAAGCGGCAAGGTGGTAAGCTCATGTATTTCAGCTGTTTATTTTTCTCCCCCCGTAATTAGCTCGGCACTTTGGGAATGAGACGAACACTCACGAATGCATAGAAAAGCCTCCTCTCGGATAGACCGCTTTGCTGCTGCTGCATGTGCGCAGGGACAGTGCTCTCGGTTCTGTTCTAGCGCAGGACGCTGCTCATGACCATGGTGGCCCTTCACCTTCTAGTGGGTGAAGGCCAGACCAGGTAAAATCCTGATTCCTCCAGCCAGGTCCTGTGATAGTGCCTGGGGCTGATAGAGTAGACTTGTCCATTTCGATTCATGGAAGCTACTTAAAATAGGGTTTTTAAAACCAGCTCACAAATACAATGAGTCACTGGGTGCCAAACTTCCCATTTACTAGTCTGCTTTCCCAGAGAGGTCACAGAATCTACCAGGATGGCAGAACACATAGGACTGAGTGGAGGAGTGAGCAGCACGCGCCTCCCAAGGCTCTGCCGCCTTCATTTGCGACTCCACAGGTTCACAGCACTGAGACCTTGGGGCAGCACTGCGGGCACCGTTTCAGCACTACTTTTGAGCACTGCCGCTTCCCACACAGAGACTGCGGGCTCATCTCTGACTAAGCCTGCACAAGAGCTGTGGCTGGGGTGCCGCCACGGTGGCCAGCACAGAGCATCATGCCTGCACTCCCTGCTGGAAGCTGGTACCCTCCCACCACCGCCTGCCCCTGGCTCCCCCACTGGATGTGTGCTGAGCTCGTGGCGGCTTCATCCCATATCCAGCAAGCAGTGCCTGGTGCCCCTGTGGCTGACCGGCCGGCCACGGGGTGGTGTGGCCATGGTGCTGGAGGACAGGGGTGAGGCGCAGGCCGTCTCCAGGGCCACCTTCCTTTGCAGGCTCAGCCTCACCTCTCACCCGCCCTCAACCGGCTCCTGTGCCAAGCTGGACCGTGCTGCCGGTCCAGGGCAATGTTGCCCTTCTGCAGCTCCCAGATGCCCCAGGCTTTACAAGGCTAAGTTGTCTGAGGTTGTGGTCTGCAGCTATAGAATTCATACATCACACTGAGTGAGGTACCTGGTTAAACATATGGGAAGTGTTCACATTTCAACAATTGCATTGAAGGCCCAGGGCCACTCATTCCCACCAAGCCGGCCACCCTTGTACCTCCAACGCTCAGCCCCTCTCAACCCCCGCTCTCGCCGCTTTCCGAAGCAGCTCTGCAAGTCCGCCCTTCTGAGCGTCTTCACTTGCTGCAGCGCCCTGGCTGCTGCAGGGTCCTTAGTCAGCAAGAGGGGTGGACCTTTCGTGGTCGTTTTGACTCAGGGAAAAAGCCAGAAGCCAGAGGGTGCCAGACTCCATGAATAAGGTCGAGGAGGACATGCCTTAACGTTTTGACAGACATTGGTGTACATGGTTGATTAATAAGAGGCAAACAAAAAGCATAGTGAAGGTTTAAATAATATTTATGTAGTAAAAGACAGAATGCCATGAATCCTGAAGACCCTCCCTCACTGGGACCACACTTGCCCTAACATTCTTGGCAATGTGTCTTTTACTGTAACAAGGTTTTAAATTAAACCTTCACCGTATTTTCCGATCACCTTCTGTACAAATTTTGAGGGTGGTGCTATGTAATTCTTCCCGTACCATGCTGTTGTTCAGCAGCTGTAGGCTGGCCGTGGGGCTGTCCCAGGGACCGCAAGACCATTCCTTTATCTAGAAATACTCTTCTATGAGTTATTCCATGCTCAAGCCCTTTTACTTTCTGTTCTGATTTCAGAAGTAATCAGCCTCTGATCTGTCCCCTCTCTGTGCCGGGCCATGGGTAAGAAGAGGTCACCGTGCCTGTGCCATCCTCAGAGGGCTCAGCTCTGGCCGTGCAGGCTGAGCAGCAAGGTAGGCAAATCCAGCTGCCTCTGCTACTGGGGACCCCAGTGCTATAGCCCCTGTCCCTTGTGCAAGCTCTCCCGTGGACAGGCCATGTCTGTCTCCATCTGTCCTTCCTCTGCCTTGCTCTGGAGTCGGTATTAGTTGCCTCCAAGCTAAGACATCTCTTCCCTGCTCTTCCAGAGCTCTGCGGGTGGGCTCTGCCCTGGTCTCTCTGAGCCTAACCAGCGTCTCTGCTCCCAGGAGACCTGCAGGTTCCCACTCCCTGCACTGCCTGCACTTCAGGCGAACAAGGGTGCTCAGAAGTGAAACTCTCTGGTGGCTTTCAGTTCTGTTCTATTCTTTTGTGTACCTGTGTTCTGGTAGCACTTGGTCTTGTCTTATCCTGCACTGCCCTAGTCCCTCTTGGCCCTCACTGTCCATCCCTGTCAGCGGAGAAGACTCTGGAGGGTGGGGCTGAGGAGGAGCCTGCACCCTTGGGTGCCCCCATCTGCACCTGGAGGCCTCATGGAATCCCCAGGGCACCAGGTGAGTCAGCTGCGGCCCTGCGCCAGATCCCATGCCCTGGACTTGCCTAGAAAGGAACCCAGGAGCAGTCTCGGCCTGCACCCGCTGAAGGCAGGCAGACACCGACGTCCACACCTTTTCCAATTTAGAAACAGTAAGTGGCATGCGCTGGGCACTTTGCAAGGAATGACCTCTGCTCAGAGAGATCAGCACACACAGGCGCCTGGCCAACAGCCTATAGCAGCACCCTACCTGGGGGGACCCGAACCTCACTGTGGGAGGCCCAGAGTTCAAACTTCTGGTATCCAAAGTGCGGTGAGCCTGTTTCCAGGCACCTTCCCACCAGGCACAGGAAACCTTCCTCAAATACCTGGCAGGAACAGTGCTCACGCACTGCGGGTCTTGCTGGTGGCTGGGCGTGCTGTGGCTCAGGCAGGAGCTCCTGACACACCAGAAGGAATCTACACCTGGAAGTGCTGCCGCCGCTGCCTTGCCCTGGGAGACAGCAGGGTGGCCCTAACAGCACCACCTCTGTGCAGGGCTTTCCCTGGGCCCCAGTGGCAGCACCTCTGCAGCGCCACTGGGCCTGAGCTAGGGCCGCCCGCCAGGGCCATCCAGCCAGGATTGAGGACATGTCTTATCCAACTGCAGGGTGAGGAGCTCTGGGCACCGAGTGGTTGAATCCCAGACGCTGGGAACGTCCCCCACTTCGAGGCCCTCTGCCCTCAGAGGACACCAGCACCCCTAGGGGACATGGAGGGATGTGGCCAGCTGCTCCCCTTGAGGGGGAAGCCTCTGGGCTTTCTGCTGGTGATGCAGACCCCTCAACACCAAGGTTGAGCCTCAATGTGCTCAACAAGACCCACTGTCCACTGGCGACACTTTCCAAGAGGGGTGCTACCGAATGCTCCAGCCCCAGGTCCAGCTTCCTCCTTGCCCTGCCCCACGCTCACCACCCGCAGCAGGACCACTTCTCCTCAGCAGAGGCTGCCCCTGGGGCCACATCGCCCACCCCACTCGGCCTGTCCTCACCCAGGCAGACTCCAGGTCCTCTTGGCTGGCCCCCAGCCCTGCCGCCATCCCTTGCCAAGTGCTTCGGCCACTGCAGTTTTCCCAGGACAGCCACCCATGCATCCACGCCCCCTCCAGCACGTGGCCCAGCGACGCCTCCCACCTGTCTGTCCTGACCTAGCAGGGCAGGGGTCACCCACAACTCGAAACTCACACATGCAGGCTCCACTCTGTCCCCTTCCCTGCCATCTATCCTGAAGGCCTGGGCAGAGCAACACCACCCGGATCTGCTCCTCAGTCTCAAGTCCCCGGGTCCCCAGCCCTGTGGGCTTCGCATGCTTTGGAAGGAAATCCCTCCCCACTGCCTGCCGCCCGCAGAGCCTCTCACTGCTCACACATTCCACACCTGCCAGGATGACCCTCACTTTTCACTATACTGAACAGAAAATAACGCAGCACCCAGAAGCAAGCTTCCTGCCCACTGTCCTAGTCCCCATGGCTTGGGGGCTCCTTCCACATAGGCAGTATTTGTTGGTCAAGGCGGGACACAGGGTCCCCATGCTGCACCCCCTTACAGGCTTCACAAAACTCTTCCCTGACTTAGGCCCCACCCCACTAGTACTTGGTCCTGCTCCTGTCCATGTCCTCACTCCAGCTAGTGATGTGTCCTCGGTATGTTCACTATGCCCCTCCCCCACCCCGCAGGGAGCTCAGCAGGCCCCCAGGGCTTGTCCCTCCCTCCTGTGACAGGAAACCCTGGTGAGCATTCCCACCAGGCTCACGGTAAGGAAACCAGGAGGTGCTGGGTTGCTGGAGTCCACAGAAGGGCCTAGGAGTGGTATCTCCTACCCGGCTGCAGCCCACTGGCCCTGCTGCCAGACCCCTCTGTTCTGAGTGCCCCCCACACAGCCCCCAATTACCCTCTGCTCCTTATGCTGCCTGTGACAGGTCAGGGGTCAGCCCTAGGGGTCCAAGTATATTCCCAGGTGAGTGGAACTGCCTTCCGGTGTGCAGAAGAGAAGTGCCGGCAAGTCTGGGACAGTTTTAGGACCAAGCCCAGGGTGTTACTGTGTGAGACACTGTCCCGACAGCTTCCTACTGATTGGGATGTGCTAGCAGGCAACCAGCTGAGGCTATGAATGGAGTCTTTCGACAGCAACACCCCCCTCACTTACTAGGCTGTCCAACAATAAAGGGTAAAACCCCTGTCCCCATGGAGCCCACGGGGAAGAGCCGTAAAGACTGCTCATCTAATTTCCTGCTCCATGCCTTCAGTAAGAGGCCATCTTTCTTGGGCCTTGGCTCCGGGACAAGGAAGGCTGTGGGGCT